GAGGAGGAGTAGGAGGAGTAGGTGGAGGAAATTTTCTAAGGTCTACATCTTCCTCTCCAAACAACTTTTGAATTTCTGCCTTCGATTTCTTCTCAGGAGGTTGTTCAGGTTCATTTTTTGATTGTGGTAAAAGCCTAAGATCTATGTCTCTGAATGAATCTAATGCAGGATCTTTACTTTTTGTAAGTATATTAGAGTTATTACCTGTTGCATCATTACTACACGTAGTTGAAGGAATAATTGTTTCTTCTTTGGGTATTAATGGAACATATTCTTTATTTTTATTTTCTTCTACTAAGTGCAGAGGCTTATCTTCAATATCCATGTTTACATCCATGTCATGAATGGAACTTCTACTGTGCAATGGAGTTTCATCCGGAACTAATATGGTGGAGTGTGGTTCAGCATGATTTCTAGTCGTTTCTTCATCTTTTGGTAATAGAGCACTAACAGGACTTTCTATCTTTCTTTTAACTTTATCTTTTACTTTACTTCGTGCTCGACTTTTTGATGGGCTACTTTTAGTCTTGGATTTATCAGCTTCTTCAGGCTTCTTATCGCTCTCTTTGCTAATATTGGAAAGATTAGATTTATCACCTACAAAACCAATACTGGTTGGATCAACAACTGTTTGTGGAAGCTCTTTATGCTTGATTAATTCACCACTTATGATCTTACTACGGTTTGATTCAACAGAACTATGAACATCAGAAACTGGTTTAGGCCTTGATTTATGTTCCTTAAATTTTTTCTGTCTCCTTTCGGTTCGCCTGTCACTTCTTTCATTTCCTTTAATACCATTAAAATCACTATTCACAACATTACGAATATTTTCTTCAGTATATTTAGTACTGTTTTCCTCATTAAAAATATTTATTTTACCTGTTTTTATTCTTTCAGGTATATTAAAAGTAGGATCATTAGGCCTTTTCGTATTAATTTTTTTCAATCGTAATCTAGGATCACGGACCCTAGAACTTTCAAAAGCTGCCTTATTATCGCGGTTGCTATCAGTAGAACTTTTAGGTTTGGCAGGAGGAAATGATTCAGGAACATCTGGAGTACTTTTAGGTTTTTCTACATTACTGGGTAATGGTTCAGTTTTAAAGCTGGCAGTTTGATTTTCTAACTTTTTCTGTTGTTCTTCTAGTATGGCTTTCGTTTGAAGTAATTCAAGTTCTACTTTCCTTTTTTGTAGCTCTAACAATTCTTTTTGTTTTTTTAACAACTCCTCTCGCATTGCTCCATCAGTAATATTTTGAGTAGCCTCAGGGGCAGTAAATACCTGCGGAACTGGGTTTAAAAATTTAGGATTAACATGAATCCTACCATGGGGAGGGTTAGCAGTGATCGGCCAGGCTGGATCGATTGCATTTACTCTAGCATCAAGAGCATAAAGTTTCTTTGGTGGAAAAACTTCATTCCAGGTTTGTCTTAGCTTAAACATCTGGGAACGTGTTTTCTCATCAACTTGTTCAAAGACAGTACAGAAAGTAGAAACAATATTTTGGGTAAATAAACTCACATATTCCTTAGCCACATTCTTAACAATGGAATCAATCAAGTACAATACAGGTAACTTGACATCACCATTAACTTTCTGTAAATGTGCTTCTACAGCTCTCACGATTGTTGGTGCATGTTCAATATAATCTTCTGCTAGCATAGTTAACATATTGATCAAAGGTTTACTGTTAACAGTAAGATCTGTTAGTGATGAAGTGTATTCTTCTGCAACACCTTTGACTTTGGTATGTTGATACATGGTATAAGTTGTAGTTATCTTCAGTTCATAAGCATCAATAAAACAAAAACAACTATTGTTTGAAAATAAATTAAAAAGTTTCAGTCCATGTCTTCATATACACTAAAAATCTTTATTTTGTCATGACTGGAAGCACTAACAATTTTAAGTCCGATGAATTGTTATCACCAACTGTTAGGAACATAGCCACTTTTCTCTTTTCATTAATTTCTTAAAATGATGCAAACAAGAAATTTTAACACTTTTAAATAGTTGAATACACACGAGCGTCTACGGTAACACCTTGAAAATGTTTAGTTTAACCCTTGTCAAACTAAACAATTATTTCTAAACGATGTTATAATTGGACAGAAAATAAGAGTACTTGCATGGATAGTGATGGCTTGAGCTGGTCAAAATACACATCCACATGGCTTATGATTAGATATTAAGCATCTATACTCAACAACAGCACTAGGTACACGCACAACAATCTAGATTTCACTAATGTGGAAACCAAAACTTGGGCCGTGATCGATCACGGTCTAACTTAGTACTAATAGGTACTACCTACGTAACCTTCCCTTCTCTTAACAATATCGCTCCATTTATTTTGATCAGCAGTAATTTTAAAAACCATCGAAAGAAATATTTAATCATTATAATATTGCTAATAATAAAATTGAATTTTACAGTAAATTGTGAAAGGTATCTTTGAAATTTGGAATGCCATGATTGTCATTAAATGCCTATCACCTCCAAAAATATCAATTAACTAATTATCTGTAAACCTATTATTTATTTATCTGCATTTTATTTTTAAATATATTTTACTTATTTAATTTTTTTTACCGATAAACTAATTTATTTCGGTTGTTTATATAGAGAGTGCAGTGATTGTGATGTCACAAAAAAGAAAATGGTGCTATAACAGGTGATTGATAACAACTGTGACTGATGGAAAAGTAAACAATAACTAATTTGTTTATCTAAAAGTTATTATTCTTCCTGTCGAAAACAATATCAATTTTCGTATTTAATATAATTTAGTTTTTCAACTTATTTTATCTTTTTATTGTTTCGGTTATTAATAACGATTTATTTTCCACCCAAAAATTGATAAGAGTAGTATTCCACATTATTAGTTTATTAATTATTTTTGTTGATAGTTTCCAATTATGTTACTTAATTCCTAAGTTGTACTAAATTAAATGATATAATTCTTATAATAAAAATTTCCATTTTTTGAATTTAGGGATTTTGTTTTGAAAATAATAATCTTAGTCTCAAAAATTATTTGTAAAGATGATGATAATGTTCTCTTTCTTAATTGTCTCATCTTCTACCGCTAAACGGTGTGAGGTTCCTTTAAATATCTCTATGAACATTTTTACTGTAAAAATATAATTTTAGTTCTTTTAACATTCTTGTAGTTATCATTTTTAATATTTAAAAATCTTTTCTTATATAATACCAAGATACACAAATAAGTAGATTGTTTGTTTTTGATTGATGGTAAAAGATACATTTAATTTTTATTGTGTTAATTGGTCATGCTTCATATCCAGTTAATCAAATATTTACATAGTTTAAATTTTTAAATTCTTTTGGAATTGTATTCATTTCACATTCCTTAGCAGTAATCTCATGGCATTTTTTTTTTTTTAATAAACATATTAATTACTTTAGTACACTTTGCTTAGTGCTTAAACTTTCCATTAAGCACCAATCTACAAACAAACATTTATAAATTAATGTAATATTAATATTTGAACTTATTCATTTTTTATCCATTCACACTGCATACATACTTATCAGTCGAATAGATCATACTTAAAGAAAGGGAATCAAAATTAAAATAGAGTAATATGACAATATATGTAATTGTGTTTTATAAACAATAGAAACCATGCATGAGAGTTAATAAGACATCAATCAATTAACAAACTATTCACAGATTATTAAATATTTCAAATTTTTGATGGAGTTATAAAGAAATAAATGTTGCTATCTACATCAACTGGGTTTTATTAAATACAAGATGATAAAAATGATTTTTGGGCTCTCTCTCTCTCTCTCTCTCTTCCTCTTGGACCTGTCTTGAAAACAAGGCTGAAGTGCTGCTTATTAGGATCTAATTTTTTTGCATTTATGGTCCAGAATAGTTCGACAATCTTTTCTTGCTCCAGGTCACTTGGGACATCATATATAATTATTCTTGGAAGGCGTTTACTCTCCAAGTTTCCAATAAGCACCGAGTTCTTTTATTCTCTCCGACTGAGCGAGCCTCTTAGCTTCTTCTTTTGTTTGAGTCCTAATTATTACACCCCTTGTTGTTTCTACCAGTCATCTAATTTTGATTCCTTCTTTAGCAGGCGTGGAACTTTTCTTTATCCCCTGTTTCAATTCCTGTACAGTGGGATATTTTTCCCTGCTTTGGTCTGTCTGGGCTATGTACACTGAACATCTCCCTCTTACAGCAACTTTTACTCTGTTCCTTGCAGCTTTGTAGAGTTCATATTTGTCTCAGCGTCTTTCCATACAGAACATTTTCTTTTTATCTTTAATTTTTCATCAATTCTTCATCTCACCTGAAATGGTAATGAACCAATCTTTTTGGATAGGAAATGTCCTTAGTATTTTAGTAAACCTAGTACAAAACCTTAAAATATGTAAAACTATTTTGTTACATCGTAAGTCATATAACATTATATTAGAGAATCAAAGTATAAAAAATTAGGAGTAGTGTTACTAATGGTAAGATAGCTTCATGCAAGCAGCCAAGTCACTCCAGTTGGTATATCATTCCTTGGACTTTCCTCTCAGTCCATTTGTGAGACCCTGATTTATTATAGAAACACCTTTAAATGAATGTAGTATTCATACTACTTTTGTAATTTAAAAAAAATAAATGACCATATATTTTAAATGTCTTGTTGCAATTTTTTTTCTAAAATAAATTTAAAACTTTGTAGAGCAAATAAATTATATATATATATATATATATATATATATAAAGTAGAGTTTTTTCAGTGTAATTTGTTGGTGATATTAAATGTTTAAATAAGATTTTATTTAAATATAACATATTTAACAAAAATCAAAATAAAAACTAAAAGGTTTACAATGGATGAAAACAGATCCATGTATTTATTTATTTAATTTTATTATAATTTTTTTTATCTTGCTACTACTTTATATAAATTCAATGTAATGTAATTGTAAATTTAGAATTTTTTTAAATGTTAAAGCTGATAAACATTTTATACATATATCTGTTAAACCAAGAATACAGCTTATTATTTCAAAATCATTTATTTATTTGATATAATAGAGAGATATTTAGTGTTCTTAAAAATTTGAAATGCAATTGTGAAGTTTTCCTTTAATCTTGTTCGAATGCCAGGTTTCTTCCTGCTATTCTGTTTTTCACACAATGCTTATGTTGCAATCTTTAGCTTTTGAAACAGAAAAAAGGTATTTATTTTTGTAAAATTAATTAATTTTTATAAAAACGACTTGCATAGCTAATGTATTACCTTTTTCTTCCGCATAGAACATTCCAAAATCTTTACTGCATATTCACATTCATTTTCTCCTAAAGTCGGTACTAAAATAAAAAAATATATTAAAAAATAAAATGTTTCTTAACAAATATTGAATGCCGATATGTCCTTAACATATTTCATAAAGAATAAATTGTCAGTACAATAAATCAAAGACTTGACAAAACACTGGTCATATGATCGCAATCACACACAAACAACTCATATTAGCAATCAAAAAGTCTACTGTCACCGAATAAATGAATTGAACATTATGGTCAACATATTTGCTTAATACAATGAAATTTTAAAATGTACAGTTATTTTTTTTTTTCAGTCCATGGACATGATAATTTTTCTTTCCTATCATATCATAATTGTGAAAAATACATTATATATTAATTTCATATAACTCTTAATTTTAGTTTACTTACATTCTTCTGCACAAGCATCTGCTTTAGCATAGGCTCTGTTTAATTTTTTAGTATCATCTTTATACTTATTTGCAATCCAACCCTTGACTGTATTAACTTGAAACTTCCCATCTTTCGAAATCTGTAATATTATTCAGAAATTTAGGTTGTTGTCGTTACTAGGCAGATGATATATGATTTTACTTACAACTTTTAATTTCTTCAATATGCAGGCCATCATGCACTGTAAAATTACGATTTCTTATTCTGGATTTTTTAATCTACCTGAATAAAGAAAAATATTTAAACAATTTCTATACCTTTCCTTCCTTAGTTTCAGGCATCAGACGGTTTTTTATTTTTTCTATATCACCTGTTTTGATCAGTATTTTGTTAATAAATGTGAATGAGAAATGAATGAAACAAAATTAATTTTAAAAAAACTTTAATCATCCGATGGACCTACGTCATTGCTGGGTCTATATGTATGAAAAACTTACTGTATGGTACTCTGAACTTAGATTTGCATTGCAATGCAGCCATTTCTTTGCTTAGACCAAAAGCCTGAAAACAGTTTGTAGATGTACTTATATTAATTTTAATTTATACTGGAATTAACAATTAAAAATTTGTATGTGTTAGGAAAATATATATTATTATGATTCTTGTAGACATTATAAGTATTATTTTTCCCATGATTTTTCAAAAATATTTTTTTCTAGTTTGAATATTTTTGATAATAATAGGAAAAATAAGGTTAATGCAATAATTAATGATATAATTATTAATTTTGTTGCTGATTATACTATAATACATTTTTAAAAATATATGTATAACAAATACCTCATTGTTAACAAATATCCCTACAAAAACTAACAGAAATATTCTACTTTTCATTTCTAATATTTTTTCACTGTTCAATATCTTTCTGTGTGGTATACTATTCTGTTTTATCTAATAGATGAAATGATATCTTTGTTAATAACAATAAACTTCCTGGATCCATTAGGGAGGAGATGGTTTATCGATCCTGAGGAAGTAAGTATCCTCTCTATTATTGTTTACTACAAAGAGTGACTTTTGGAATTACTTTGTTTATAAGAATAACATCGAATGATTTGTATTTCTATATGAAACCTTTTGAAAAATGTATTTAAAGCATACAGAACTATAATGACATGTAAGTTATATACATCATTTTATGTATAATTAATAAATATTTAATGCAGATTGTTCTATTAAAACATAGAATTAAATTCCTACAAGGACAAATGACAATATAGATTGTTCATTATGGAAAGTGAATAGAACCAGTAATACTTAAAATTAATTAACTTAGGCATCATAATTTCTGTTATGAGAATCTGTGGAATTGTGATGTGGTGAAGCGAATATGTACAGAAATGAAATTTAAAAAGATAGTATTGTTTGGTTTAGGTTTCATCTTTTTTTTCTTGTTTTTTTAAAATGAAAAAGTGAAAAACTTTGTTTGAATCGGTTCATTGTATTATTTTACTATTCCTCTTTACGGTGTTTATTTTATATTTTATGACAATGGTACCACCTGGTCTACCTGTGGCGGACCTAACACTTCGGTGGGCTGGTACATTATCAAATCAGTCCCAAATGACAAGTGCTACAAAGAATACCTGGGTTATGAAGTTTGATGTAGAAAGAAAATATAACTGATAAATTCTATTGTACCTTATTTTCATTAAATAAGCTTTATATTTCTCAAGGATGAAGGAAGAGGTGCCCAGAAGGGGATTTCATGGCGCAAGTTGCGCCATCACCACATTTTGACAGGGTTTTGAATTTTGGAGGGAGGCACATTTCGACAGGGTTATAAATTTTCTAATTGAAAAATTTCAGTTCAAAAGTCAAATAGAAGTATTGAAAAATAGTCCGCATGTCTATGTGAAAATAATTAAACTTGAAAATAAAAATTGTTGGAAACTCGGTACGATCTATTTTACTCATTTTTACGATTTTCTCGGAAATAACTTTAACAATTTTGATTAAATTCGTTATATCAATGTACAATTAAATAATCCTAAATGTCAGTAAGTCTTATTATCTTAATTGACATTGTATGACAGAGCTTAAATGCCGAATTTTCGATTTTTTTTTTCCCACAAACATACCTTTAATTTTATGTATTTGAAATAATTAATCTTATCTAATTATTTGTATTAATAAATAATATATATATGTATAAACCAGGAACAAATTTGGTAATTAACTAAAGGAGAAAGAAAATGTGTTTCCTGATTGAAAACAAAATTCTAGAATAAAAATAGTAATACATACATGCAGCATATTTAAACCTAACGATTTTATAAACATTAATATCTTACATGTAATGTCGTAGAAGGATAGGAGAATCTCTGATTAATTATAATTTCTGTAAACTAATATTTTTTAACGGAAACTTCAATATTTTTAATCTTGACTAAACAAAAATATGAAATTTTTCGAATTGTTCAGGAATTGTTTCAAAACAATTTTATTGTACATGTTTGAGAGAAGACGTAAAGAAATGTATGTTGCTGGAAATATTTAAAGCAATATTCGCAGGTGGGAAAAAGCTATGGTAATAACATTTAATATCTTTAGCTTCAAATAATTAAGTATTAACTAGATCTATTTAAGCATAAATCTTATTATTTAAGTAGGATGTTAAGTAAAAGTTGTGTGATGTCCCCTTTAAAACAGATTTTATTTTCTTGTTTAATTATTACCCATTCTTATGAAGAGAAGCTAAAGCCCTTTTGGACTATAATTACACTTAAAAATTTTTTTTTTGTTTAAAGTTTCGATACATATAAATTTTGTTCAACCTACACATTATGTTTTTTACAATCACAATTTACAGACGTTCACTCCTGTATTGCAGATAATCAAAAAGTTGTTCTGAAGAATGGTCAGAATATTTGAATATAAAAGAATTATCGATCCCGGATATATTTTTGGTTCATTGTTTTATATGCCATCAGGCTATTTAAGTCTAATAGATATGGCATCAGTCATTCGTAATCCGTTGGATTGCTTATTGATGTTCATTATTCGCAATCATTGAAGAAATAAAAATTAGTGATCGGTATTGTATTAATTAGCTCGGCTTTCTCGGTGGTGTAATAACGTATGATGCTAACATGCAAAATAATATCTTTTTGACTGCGATAAATTTCTTTTAAAGAACATTAGAAAAATAATATTTTTAGATATCATAAACATTATGGAAAATATTTTGACTTTTTGATGAATTTCTAAAAGCAAAAAAAACGTATTTGTTCATCAGCATTTTCGGATCCATTATGTTTGTATGTATGTCAGATCCATGTTAAAGCCATACCCGTCAGCTGTAAAACTGGGTAATATCCGTCCCATTTGAGATTAAATTAAAATAAACCGATAGAATTGTTGGTTCGCTACTCCTGGATATACGAAAAATAAAAGCTCGTTATCCTAAGCCAACAAGTAATGTACCATTACTGACTTAAATTTTAAGTTGGTTCGATGTATTCCAGCGTTGTTTAGCCCTGGGTATACACAGTGCGAAGTAGTTTATTAATCAAACTATTGTTCATGTGAATTTTTTTGCTGAAATTTTATCAGAATTCTTTAATCTAATATATGATTTAACTTTGAAATGATTAAAGTCAATTTCTTTTCATTCTGGGGCCCCTGCCCAGGGCACCGTAATTAAGGAGAAGGAAAATTTGAATTTTTATATAAAATTTTAAAAAAACTTTATTGTTTTTTGATTGTTTTGACCTTGATTCTATCAATAAAATGAGTTTAAGTCACGACGTTTTGATATTTATTTTGAAATATATAACCCGAAATATTTATTTTATTTTAACATTGTTATATTTTATTGGGAAATGAGCTGACAAAGGGTGGCAAAATATGGTTTTTATACTCTAATAAATGCAATATATGACTACATTTTCGTTATTTTTTAACAATAATTAGTAACCAAGTGGGACAAATATATCTATCCCATCTCACATCTGTTAGCATAATTATTTTATCATAAATTGACTGTGATTCTTCTACTCAATGTAATTTCAAACAACTTTGTCAATAAAATTTGTTGTAAAAGTTGAGCATAAGTAATACTGTCCTCTAAAGTAATACTCAGGGTTAAAATGAGTAACAAATTGGAATCATAACTTTTTTCAAAATTCATTTTGAAACTGAAATTACTAAATTAAGTAAATTATTCAGAAACGGATAAATTGATGTCGAGTAAGATAAAGGGAAAAAAAGGTAAATAAAATGGTAAAAATTTTATTTTACAAAGAATCCTTATTCACTGATCTATCAACTACTTATCATGAATATCATATCTATTAATCACTTATAAATAAATTATATTTTACAGTAATTCTTAAACAAAAATATACAGTCGTAAATTTTTACATTATTTTTATTTCCATTACTTTTTTTGATAATGCATAATGGTAACTTTTTTTAATCTGTACAAATATAATAGCAATACAAAACTCATGTATACATCGTATAGACATTTTAGACACGTAAAATTTCTTAATATGGGTTTGGTCTCGTCTTGTCCCTTTCATGTAAAGTACCTGAAAAGTACAATTTTTTTTTATTAATGTATTGTTACTTGCATACATAATTATGAAATGAAAGTATTCACCTTTTTCCAAAGCACTCATAGAGGGAAAACGCCGTTTCACATTTTTCTATTTTCTTTATTCCGGCTAAAAATTGAAAAGAGGTGATATAGCAATCAACAATTGAATTAACAATAAAATCTAAATATATACAAATTAATCTATGTTTGTTTTTCCTCTAAAGACTCGACCGTCCAACTTAAAGGACTTCTGTGTAGTAAGCTCTTTATTGGACAAGCCATTTGATTACGTTGTATCTGAAATAAGAAAAAGTATTCTTGCACAGTTCCGGTAAATATTGTTTTTAGTTACTATTACTGAAGCGCAGGAATAATTGAACGCTTTTATCAATAATATATATATATTTTTTAAATCAGCAGAAATTCCTAATTGTTTTCATTAGAATTCGGACTACCAAAGATGGTAATAGTATTACTGGCAACAATTTTTTTTTTTTTGTTTTTTCGTAAGATTAGTCTGTTAACTGAATAAACTGTTACATCATAATTATCTAAGAGTTTTTACAGTTATTTAATCATTTTCCTGGAATTATTGAGATTAGCGACATCTATGAAAGAACGCTTACTCGTGGGAAATAGTGCATGTGAATAATGGTGAAGAAATCGCGGATCAGTATGTTATTCTTGAATTCCTTTACATTATTACTTTTTGTTCACAGTCTATTACTGAAAAAAAAAAATCGTCTACTTTATTTCATAGAATATTTTTTCAAATATTAATGTTTTTAAATTCAGAATTAATATTCCATATGAGGTGATTCATGAAAGGTTTAACTGAACTGATTTGTACTAATTAATTATGTAAGTTATGTAGGTAAGTTATTATGTCCATCAAATTAATGATTGAAAAAGTTGAATACAAATTATTGCTAATTGTTCGGAATTTGATTATTAAGTGTCTTTCACAAGTAATACAAAACTGAGAAAATTCTTTATTGGAGATTTTCATATTATATACAAGGAAATGGATTATGAAACATGTTTATTCCTAAAGATTGAGCATTTTTTCTGAGTTGAGGTTTATTATATTAAATTGAGGCTCATTATACAAAAAGCCTGAAAAAAGTTTCTTTTTTTTCAAATAGTATGTTTTATATTTATGTCTTCTCCTAGATGTCTTTTGTCAATCCCTAAAACGATTCTGGTTTCGAAATCTCTCGAAACAACCAGATTTAAAAAAAAAATCTGTAATGTATTATAAAACACATTATCTTAAAAGAATTTCATTCCTTGACTTAGGAGAGAAAAAAAAAAAAGATTTATAAGATATTTTTCAAATTTATACAAAATTAAAAAAAAGAACATAAAATCAAGTGACAGTTCGTATATAGTTCCTCAAATTACAAATGAAACTCTATTCATCACTAACATGACTTGAAATTGCGCATAAGTAAGAAACCAACACAAATAAATAATTCAGAATTTTCAAACTCCGGCTATTTATGCCGAGAATGACATTATATTTATTACAATTTATGCTTTGAATCACAAGGACAAGATTTCGTGAATGAAAGCCTATCAAACAAGAAACCTTTGGAAGGTTTCGTTTGTGATAATCCTTCGAGCTGATAATTGATAATAATGATTAACTGATTCATTCATTTATAAATTTATTACATTAAAGAGGTCAGTGCCAGCCTTAAACATTCGACGCCCCCGGAAAATGACGTCATCCGCCTTAAAAATATTGAAATTATTTCTTAAAATATTTTATATTATGTAATATTTGAATTTTATTTCATTAAATATTTCTCTAATACAGTTGCTATGTTAGCAAACTATATTTGATTATTTTGATACGTTTTGTATTTTTTTTTTTTATTTCTAATAAGTGGGAACGCCTCTGAAAATTGGCTGGCGCCCCAAAAGCAATTGCCCGTTTGCCCCGCCCTAAGAACGGCATTGAAAGAGGTTTATTATAAAATTTAGGGATGCCCATCTCCCCCAACTTGGGGGCCCCAAGGGCTTATTTGGTTATTCTACTCACCAACGCATTCCTTTACAGAACTGATTATGGCATTTTTGTTTTTGGAATGAGCCAGCTCTTCTTGTAACCATCCTGTGTACAGTTCGTCGTTTATTTCTGTACCATTAGTCTGCAAATTGATATTAATTAATAGAAAATATATTAATATTTATGTTATGATTGTTAAATGAATGTGATTTTTCTTGGTTTAAGAAAATTAAAAAAGAAAAAATGTATTCTACTCACAAGCCCAACTTCGTCGAAGAAACAGCTGACAAAACACTGAAACCACAAACAGCTAAATGGGTGATTTATTAAAAAACTAAATATGAATATCTATACAGTATACCAGTATATAATAATATATATATCTATACAGTATACCTACATAAATATTTATCGTAATAAATAAATAAATAGATAATAAGTTTAGATATCTTACTTTAGCTCTCCGTGGAACATCGTTCAGTTTTGTAATGAGAGTCTTCTTGTCAACTGAAAATTAAATAAATGAGTTATCATTAATCTTCAATAAAAAAAAGAAAGTAACTCTGTTTACATAACTTATAAAAAGTTTTTAAAAATTAAAATTTGGTAATAATATTTTCTTATTTATTTTATGTAAACCAGTACTTATATACATTGTTTTGCAAATAATTCTAAGAAAAAAATTAATTAAAAAGAGTTTTACAATATCGTATCAATCTATGTGAACGTAGTCTGAATTTCAATGGAAAAACAAAAATTACAGAATAATCAATAATAAAAGAAAATGGTATTGTAAATTGAAAATGGGTGCTCCTATAATTTTGGATATTCATTTGTGGTAAATTTGAGATTTTATTGAGAACCTAATTTAAACTGTGAATCTATAACTTTAGTGAATCATTATATTCAATGAGTTACTAAAATTTGAAACCAATACGAATTGAAATATTTTTTGATACAATGTTGGGTTTTGAATTGAATAGAAAATTATAGATTCAAAGTGTTACATATTCGCAAAATAGAAGTAAAAAATTCAAATCAAACAAAAAATTTCATTTCCGTAATAAATGTGATCCTATAACTGATTTTTTCCTTGCAATGAGATTTTGAGAAAATGCTGTTCAAACTATCGAAATTTATGTATAATTATATCCCAACTATGGAAATTTATGTTGTTTTTGCTTTAAGATTTTAGTCAAAATCCTATTTTGTGAAATTTATGTTAGAAAATTTTATATTTTGACAACATTCCCACCTCTCCAAAACCTTGTTGTAGTTGTCATTCCAGAGGTGGATCGCCCAATTCATAACCCCTGACGATTTACTATTTATCTTTGAATTCTTTGGAATCCGCATAAATCGACAAAATAATATTTTTAACATTTACTGAAATTTACTTAGAGTAATTGGGAGAAAAGACAATGGATAAGACTGATTTCTCTATGAAATCAAAACATTGTGCACTGACGATTAGAGGTCACAAAAAAAGTGGTATTTTTTTCTAAAAATCATTTTTTAAGGTCATTTGTTCGACATATGACGGGTTAATCGAAAGTGACAATTTTAGTTCTTTCGGAAGAATATCTCGCTTATTTTATTTTTGGCGGTTTGGAGATTATATTCATCTCGGTTATCTAATATTTTATATAACCGCCATTAGCTTCATTATATATGAGCAAGCTGTATTATTACGGTATTCAAGACTGGTAGATAGTCACGACTTGCAGTAACCATCTTCTGTTCATAAAATTAGTTTCTAACCACCCGCTGAATATAATAGCGACCTACTGTAAGGTTTCTGGTTGTACAGATGTTCTGTTGATAGCGCTAAAATTAGCCAAGTAATGCTGGGAACAACAACCAAGACAATTGCTTTCAATTTGCAATAAAGATTGTTGAGAATATTTCTTATCCGTCTTGATTTCCCTTTGTATATGTAACGACGGATTACCTTTACACGCAAGTCCATATAAGCAAATAACACCAGGGACATTGAAAATTTATTTAATGACAATATATGAAAAATGTTGAATAATGAGACATAATATAATAACAAAGACAAAATATAAAAAATGTATAAAATCCAATATTTATGTTCGTCCCATTAGAGGAACGGCATGGACAGATATTGACGTGATTAATTTCCGATATCTATAGACCACCGCATAGCAGCTTATAAAATGCATTTTAATTTTATTAAGATTAGAAATAATATATAGAAATAAATTACCAGATTTCATTTTCATCAAGTGTTCACACTTAGCTTCTGCATTCATCCACGCCATGTCCCATTCCGACGGCGTCAGCTAAATAAATAAATATATAAATAAACTCAATAAAATATAATATTCATTAAATAATACGTATTTAATTGATAGCTTGAAAAATTGTTTGAATTATAATAATTGTCATTCTTTATTGTAATGGTAGGATATCAACTTTTTTAGGATATCAAACTCAGTTAAAATAAGTTGTGTAAGTCAAAAACTGAGAACATTCTATAAATGTAGGTATTTGATAACAGCTTACTTTCCCTGTTAAAAATATTCAGTCTCAAGTAAATCCAAATATTTAAAAGCATGAAGTTAAAATACTCAGTAATTTATTTATTGATGATATTTACAACTGTATTACAAGTAAAAATACATTCAGTAAATGTGTACAATAGAATATAATAGCATGAAATCATTTGGTGAGAAACTACCCACTGGTAGCACTCTAAAAATGTATTTACAAAAGAAGATCTCGAGGCCATCTTCTTTTCAGACGCCTCGGAGGGAAAATACTCAGTAAATAATTAATTATTACGAAAATGGATTAAATCACTTTTAAAAATAACGGCTCATAATTATAGGTTTTAAATTTATTATAAAGGGTGTTTCTGGGTTAAGTGACCAAACTGCACAATTGAACTAAGAACCTCAAAATAAGAAAAAAAAAAAAAAAATCCTCTGAAGGTATGTCCGCAAACGCTTTATTTAGGAGATATTCACACCTAAAGATTTTCGTTATACGAAATAAATAAAATCTATTTATTTGTTTTAAGTATTTTATCAGTTAAATGTAAATATTAACATTCGTATTAAATGTTGTTCAAAGTGATTTCCTTGAGCATTAAGAAAGGCTTGGCATCTTTCTTCAACAACAGCAGTGGCAGAACGGCACTGGATATGTGTTATTGTTTCACAAGATTCAATTATCCTTCTTCGTAAGGAGGAATTAAATCTTTAGGTGTGAATATCTCCTAAACAAAGCGTTTGCGGACATAACTTCAGAGGAATTTTTCTTTCTTCTTTTGAGGTCCTTAGTTCATTTTGCAGTTTGGTCACTTAACCCCAAAACACTCTGTATATTATAGTTCAAATAATTTTTGCTGAATATATTATTTTCTTTGTCTTTTCTTATTTTATTAAAAAAATATGATTTTTAAAAAACCTTCCCTTCTAGTTCTGAAAAGGGAAATGGGGAATGTTTATTTTACCTTTTAGTACAACACTTCCATTTCTTTATCTCCTTTACCCTACATTGTTGTACCTGAGGAGAAAATATGAATTCAGGTAAATTTCCTTGAAAAAGGGATTGGCCGATGGTATATTCTCTGTATACCTGTTCAACTTCTTGTGTGTTTTGTATTATTACAAGTTTATTTACATTTCTAATTCTTCGGAAAGAACGATGTTTCTAATAGTAAAATCTATAATACTATCTATTTTTTTTATAGAAGTCATTAAATAATACTTTAAAAATTTAAATCAACAAGTAATTTGATGGATTTTCTCCGTGAAATTAGAACATTATGCGTTTGTAAGGGAAGGTCACAGATAGCGAGTCACCGATTTTAATCAAAAATTTTTTGTCGAATCTACCTTCAAAAATATTGGGTACATGTCCTGCTCGTTGCAATGGGCCCTAGGAGACGAGAACAAAATGTGGATGTTTTCAAAATTAATTTTTTTTTTCTTAACTGTTTGTTCGGCAAAAAAACTACATATTCATCTTTTTTTTATTAAGAACAAAACAAAATACGCACAAAATATTTTAAGGAGCTTCGGTTGTACTAATGTTGAATGAACATTAGTTCACTTCAGTAAAGTGGTTCAAATTTTTTTCAGCTAATCAAATTCAATTTTTTCTGTCTGCATCGCTTTTAATGAAATCATCCTCCACCGTTTGATCATAATTTTTTTCCAAAATCTTTGAAAGGTTGCTACAATAAACGTGTTAAATGGATGGCCATTCCAATACAACACACGATTTTGTGTTAATTAATAGATATGAAAATTAATTTGCTTAAAGAAACGTCATTCAATCGGTATCACTCTTAACTATTTAAAGGTTCAGGAATTCTGTTTAATGAGGTTTTGATTTCCAACTATAATGTACGCATCATTTTTTTTTTGTAAATTACGCAGTAGGTTTAAAATGCATATAGTACACGTTCTGCATTTAAAATAGTTCCTAAAACTCTCTAATTTAGTTTATGTAAACAGGATATTACAGAAAAACGTAATTGTTCCACCGCTTCGTAATAGCCTACACCGCGAGCTGGGGAAGAACGCTTATCGGTGGTCATAAGTAATGGTCCAGTACTCTAATGAATATGGAATCTGGTTAAGTAACGCTCACAGGGGACGAATTACTTATTATGACACTGGAAAGTTGAGCAGATCATGTGTCGGTTTTATTTTGTGTCATTGTATAATTTATGAACTTTCAACTGGCATTAAAACGTAACCGTATATACCTACGGATTGGATGATCATGTTGCATCCAATACTTGCATTTTGTAAATATGACACCTCAACTCACTTTTTGAAGTTGATAAAAACATAATTCAGTTATAATTAAACTAATCATACTATCTCTTATAGAGAAAAGCATTGGTCACATTATTTCATTTAGACGAACTGAAACGTCAAGTCTAAAATTTGGATTTTTTAGAGTTATTAAAAAAATAAAATTAAAAAAATCCAACAGAATCCGCCCATTAAAATCTAAGACGAGTTTTGGTCTTGCGCACTCAGTTTTGGGCTTGTTCTTGCGCAAGAGTCTCCCAACAGTCTTGCAGTTACTTATTAGCTTATTACTAGAGAGATATTCTTGTAATTTTTTAATAATTGTAAGTTATTTAATTATAATTCCGAATGAAAAAATTTTTCTCTTTTTTTTTATTTTTATTGAATAGTAAATAGTACAACCTGCCACAGTGAAGTGCGACAAGTAACAAGGCTAAATGCGTTCATTAATACCATATATACATACAATAAGGAAATAAAAAATAACTAAAAAAAAGTAAATATAAAAATAGAACAACATACATAAATAATACATAAGCGAAATAAGAAATAAATCACATTCATATCTATGTACAATATTTACATTCACCCAGGGAACTCCGAGCCAAGATTTGTCCTCCAAAAGTAAAAGGCAAAGCAGGACTCCAGGAGATCCCAGTGCCTCTCTTCCAGCCGCGTCACTGGTAAACCAGTAGAGACTGAAGGAGGGCACTAAAGCCACAGAAGCTCAGAACGAATGAAAAATTAGAAGAGTTAAATACAAAAGTTAAATACCAATTATTTACATATAGTTACTCGAATTGTCAAGTGTTAGTAACTATTTTACCTTAATTTTTTTTCATAAACTCGTTTTTTTTTACCAGTTTTGGTGTTGGTCTTGCAACAGTTAAATGGTTTTGAAGATGCCTTTGAGAGACTTCTCTAAAACTTTCAGTCCCAATCGAGGTTTCATTGAAAATTTTTGTCCTCGAAGAGGAAGATGGATCGGCTTTGAAACTGTTTGTTAAATCACACTCGTTCAATAAGCCATGGTTTAATATTATAAACTTTTGTCCAATAAATTTCTATGCTCACTTGGACCTCAAAATTTCTAAATTCATTACTGTCAAATTCAACATTATAATTTTTTTTCGGATGAAATATCAATCCTATGTTTTCACACCGTGATTTACGACCCTTTGTTCTAAGAATGTTTTTAGCATCCATAGTCTCTTAGGATCCATAGTCGTTCCAAAGCGGCAAGGAAAAAAGGCTGGCTGGCACGCCAATCATATTTGATATAATAAACTATAGCGTAATAATTTTATAGCGTTCCTTCATCAGCACTAGCGGATCCAGGACTTAATTTTGGGGGAAGGGAGGTGGTGTCAGTCCGAAAGGTTTTTTTTTTTGTACATGTAACGATAATTAATTTGAAAAAAAAAAGAGAAAAAGAAATTAACTACCTATATGAAATGGTGTTTAACTGATTCTTGAAGTCCTATTAAATATAATTACACGAACAAGAATACCTTAAGAGATAGATTTTAATATTTGTATTCTGTAAATCATGGTTATATTTTACCATTTGGAGGGAGGGGACTTAAGCCCGAAAGCTTCCCCCGTAGATCCTCCTTTGTTTATCAGGAGTAAAAACGCTGCTGTTTAACAGAATATATTATTTGGATTGAAGGGTGCTGAGACCATAGTTATCTTTAATGTAATTTGTTCTGTCTGAATTTAGATATTCTAAGAAACAATAGGGCGGTGTTGAGACTTCATAGGAACTTATAGATTTCATGATTTATTCTACGAGAACTCTAGATACTGTTGTAGATACTGTTGTAAAAATATATTTAATTTTTTTTTTTTTTATAAAATAGATTATTCGAAGTACATAAGCATCTTTAAATAAACCAACAAAATACGTGTAATTGCACTCAAATAACATTTATAATGTAATAAATATGAACACAAAAAATAAACATTTATCATTTTCTCAAAATAAATGCTAATTCTTATATTTTAGGTATGACTGTGTTTTTAATTTACTTATCTTTAGGTTATTTTATATTTTTTTTTTGTACATAGTTTTTGATTATTATTTTACTTTTGTTAATTTTATATTTTCTGTATATATGGTATGAATGTGTTCATATGTCAATATAATTATTGTGACAGATTGTTATATTAAAAAAAAAACAAAAAAAAACAATTCTCATATCATCATTATGAAAAGAATAAAAATACTATCAAACATTGTAACCACCTCTTGATTTGTTAAATATATCATTAATAAATTCCGCTGTATGTTCGAGGTTTCATGTTAAAGGAAAAGAAACAATGCACTTCTGTATAAGTTCATATGAAGCATGACCTAAGTTGACCCGATAATAAGGATAGTGAAGATACAAGTTTTTAACTCATGCTTTTTATTCAATATAAAGCGATAACTAAGAAACTAATTAAGGTAGGTGACTTCCAAATGCGGCATTGTTAAATAGAAAGAATATTTTTGAAAACTAATTAGA